ACTCATGTCTGTCTCTCTTTTGCTGATCAAATAGGCTGTGGTTCATATCTGTGGCTTGTGACTTGGTGGCAATTTCACAACTTGAAGTGAGCAAAATATCACTTTGGAGCTTGCAGATCAAATAGTTTCATGCCTTTATTCACGTTGAAATGCCACGATTGCAAGGTTTAGTGAAGGTGCCAAATGAGTAGATTCAGTGCAAATGTTTAAACGTGTTGTGCGCGGGAAAAACATTGCACAGTATTTTGTTGAAATGATTGTGTTTAAATTTTTCTCTTACAATTACTTTTGTTTTTCAAGAGGAGGAATTCACCCCGTGACCCGGTACTCTGAGACACTGTTGATAACGGACCAGCCAGCCTGGCTCATCAGCAGGACTTTGAGGAGAAGACGGGTCACTGGGAGCTGTGATTCTTTCCGCTTTGTGCTTGTTAGCACTGAAAGCCAAAGCCCGAATGGGTTAGGTGGTCCTAGCTGGGCAAGCAGTGGAGTGCATCTGCAAAGGCAAACTGAGGTTTTATTTGGCTGAACTCCAGCAGCGACTCACACACACTCTGGGATCCCTAAACTTGACTCTAAGCTTTCCAGGAATTAAATAAGCAGCGCGCATTCCTCCCTCTCTCCCTCCCTCCCTCCCTCCAGAGAGAGAGAGAGAGAGAGAGCAAACGTATTCAGAACTTTTAGTAGTTTGATTTGGAGACTCAAGCACGTTGATGGTTTCCATTCAATGAGCAGAATGGCCTCCTCGTGCGCTGTAAATAAAGTACAAAATGTACAGCGCCTTTCACGTCAGGAGGAACATGCAATGTTTATGACTCTGTTAGATGAGGAGTTTTTGAAGGCTTCCAATCTTCGAACCATCCAATACTGAATGGAACAGGTCCAAGGGATCAAAACAGCTGCTCCTACGACTGAAGCCGTCAAGACAGCAAGGCTTATTGTGCTTTAATATTTGCAACAGTTTTGAAAACCTTTTGAAACACAACCCAAACTGTCACAGATAAAATAAAAGCATTTGACGAGTGAGCCAATATTTGCAGTTTCTTTTTTCATATATATATGTATATATATTAAAAAAAAGCTTTTTCTCTTTGTATTTTTATTTGGAGCTGAATTTATTTCCAGGGTGTCTGACAACCAGCTTTTGGTTTGATTAATGCCTCACACAAAGAATGCAACCTCAAAATGTACATGTTGTTGGTTTCTCTGCTGAGGGTCCGGAGGTGAGGAACAAATCTGCTCGGCCTCAGAACAGCTTTTTTGGAAACCCGGTACTTCCTGCGAGTGATCATTATATCTGTAAGATGTTTGCACAGTGGACTAAAACCTCAGCCAGCCCTGTCAGACCTCAACAGCTTCACAGAGAAATAAAACCATTCTGATGCGTTCTATCTCTTCGTCTGACTGTGTGGGAAGCAATTAGTAGATTCCTATCATTGCACTGGCAATGGTTTGCCAAGACTTGCATATCAGCATTGCCTTTGGGCATTTTGAGTCTATTCCTGCACTGAATTCTACACAGTTAGAGTTAACCATTGTTTTGAGCAATCAACTTACTGGAGGATTTAACATTTAATACAGTTGCTCAATAATTTCATTTAAATGTAATTTCATAGATTCATAGATTCATAGAATGTTACGGCACAGAAGGAGGCCATTCGGCCCATCGAGTCTGTGCCGGCTCTTTGACAGAGCAAGTCACTTTCACTAACCCCAATCACCAGCTTTCTCCCCATAACCCTGCAAACCCGTCTTCCCCAGATACCTATCCAGTTCTCTCTTAAAAGCTGTTATCGAATCGGACTTCACTACCCTTTCAGGCAGATCACTCCAAATTCGAACAACTCACTGAGTGAAAATATTTCTTCTAACCTCCCCTCTGCTTCTTTTGGTAGATATTTTAAGACTGTGACCACGAGTCACAGACACACCTACCAGCGGAAACAGCTTTTCCTTATCTCGCCTGTCGAAACCTTTCATGGTCTTGAAGATCTCTATCAGGTCCCTGTGTAATCTTCTCTGCTCTAATGGGAAACGTCCTAACTTCTCCAGCCTGTCCTCATAGCTAAGGTTCCCCATTCCTGGTATCATTCTCATGAATCTCCTCTGCACCCTTTCCAGTGCATTAATGTCCTTCCTGAAGTAAGGTGCCCAGAAATGGACACAGTACTCCAGCTGAGGCCTAATCAGTGTTTTGTATAGATTAACCATAACCCCTACTCTTATACTCTATGCCCCTACTAATAAAGCTCAGTACACCAATCCACCAATTCATTGTCAGGTGGACAATCCACCTGACAATGAATTCACTTGACTTCACGTGAAGTGCTTTGAGATGTCTTGACGATATGATGAGGCTCTATTAAATACAAGAGTTATCATTATGAGATCAGTATGGTTCTTATCCACCTATTGCTACAACGTTATCTGCAACACATAAAGTTTCATCTTACCTTACTGAGCTATCTGTATGTGGAATGGCTTTTTTCAGTGGGGAATATGATTGTGTATTCTCTGTGTAGACTGTTGCAGCTATCAAAGCTAGACCCCCTTCTTGTGTGTTTTTTTTAATGGTTATTCTCACAGTTGTGTTCTGTGGGGGAAGATATTTCATCTGTGTATGGTGGTAAAGCGTGGATTCTGGACAAAGATTCTGAACACGACACCAAGGCAGGTTCCTGGCTTAAGACTTCAAATAATTAGTTATGTTTCAATTTCCAAGCATCAGGACTGGCGGGGGCTGGCGGTGGGGGAAGAGATGAAAATACAATGATTGTTTTTTTGAAGAACTGCCGGAATTTTTTTGTACAAATTGTCACTTGAAAGATTCTATAAGAAATCCCTTCACTTGATGCACTCTGCAGCTAACTGGTCCTGTTTGAAATACAATGGGTGTGCAAGTCACGGTCAAAAAGGAAGGTCTTTAGAGTACTTGAAGGAGGCAAGAGAGGTGGTGAAGAAGAGAGGAAAGAAACTGAGCTAAAAAGGGAGAAATGAACTCGGAACATTAATATGGACAGCAAAAGCAGTTGCAAGATTTTAATAAAAGAGTGGCTAAAAGGCTTCAGGACACAGATTTTTAAAAACATGAAAATTATCAAAGAAAATTGCTATCCAACATTCAATGCTTTGATGTTATTGAGAGAGAGGTTGTGGATGGGGTTAAAATTCAATGAATTTTGAGAGGCGAGTGAGGACATTGTGGGGGCATTGACGATGATTTGAGGGAGTTGATGAACACTGTGGAGGTTATAATGGGCTGGAAATTGGTAAATGTGGTTCCCATAGAGTGATTGAGCCAAACACAGCAACTTCAGAACCTTTAGTATTACCTCAATGATTAGAAAATGAATGGAATCAAATATCAGCGGAAAATGGAAGTGGCTGTACTAAAAAGAACATCAAATGGCAGGCAACAAGCCAACACTGGCTTCAGGGGAGATGTTGCATAGTCAACCTCAAAGCTTAGATCAAATAAGTTGAAGGACCTTTTTCATTCAAAAGACTCTTGTGAAGACTTGCAAGTGGCTCATTGTTCGAAAGAATGGAAGAAATCCAAAGCATCCCCAGCATATTTTCATGAGAGAACACATTGTTCATTTGGAGTGCTAACATTAAGTTCTAATAGAAAAGCTGACCTATGTGTCTGAAGATAAACAAGAATAGTTGCATGGAAGATATATCTGCCGACTGAAAGACTGAAATCAATCAAGATAGCTGCTGTAATACAAAAAACAAAAGGAACAAACAAACTAGTAAAGAAAGACCATAGCAGCAAGATGGAGCAGAATCATTTCAAAGATGTGACAATGTAGTGGAAGGTTAAGGGAGGAAATTATTGCAGAAAGAAGAGAATTTTTCAAGTAATTTGTGAAATTGAAAGGGGTTGAGCATGTTACTGCTTTGTGTAAGCGTGCACTCAGCCACCTAGTGGGTAAATTGCTCTTCACAAGTGTAATGAGGGGGAAATTATCCAATTCTGATGTTGTTTCACTCACGCCTTGCTGCAGGAGCATTAAGGACAAGTGTGTGCATGTTTCCGTTTTCAGTAAACATCCTTCAGATAAGATTAAGTCATTTCTGAATAGGTTACTGACATAGCTAAGATGGAACAATTTGGAAATTGACACTGATTTCTTCCAGACAGAATTAGCACCCATCGAATTTTCATTGTTCATAATTTTGCTGCATTTGTGAGAATATATCAATAACTGTGTGAAAGCCATCAATTCCCGAGATGAGTCACAAAATTATTTGATTTCAACCAATCAGTTCCATTGATTTTTTTTTGGTTCCCTCATTTTTCCCCCAGTCTTCAAACTCCTGCTTTAAACAACTACTGTATAATGAACAATAATCCCTTCAATAGCCAGGAAGCTGGACTGAATCCAAATTTCAGCTTCAGAGATCCTAAGACTGAAGATCACTATCAGACGTCCGACTCCAGTTGTTAGAGTTATTCTTAAGGTTATAGAGCAAAATGTCATCAGACTGTAAATCTGTTTTAAAACGCTGTTCACTTCAGATGAACTTCCACATTAAAGGTTTATGTCATTTGTAACAAAGAGTTTTGAGATTAACTGCTTTGCCTTATCAGTACTGCATGTTCCGATCCCATCAAGAGTCCACATACAGCCTTGAAAAGAAACTCTTAACTCGAACCTCTTGAATCAACTCGAAACTTACTAATTGCCCACAGTACATCAGCATGTAAAAATCAGAGTAGATCCAGCAAGTCAGGACTTCGTCATATTTTTTTCGGTTTAAAATAGCTTGTTACATAGTTTTTTTTTCCCGTCCGTAATGATTTCCTTTTCAAGCTGTAGAGAATGCTGTAAATTGCTGCTTTGGGCTGAAAGTTGAATTCTCTTGCAATTTTCTTTAATTTCTTTGATTTCAGATTTCTATAGTCATTGAAATGCCAATCCCAAAGTAAAGTACGTCCTCACAATGTGAAAGCTACTATACAAATGCAATTAGCCTGCTGCTGCTGCTGCTGTTGTTGTAAAGACACAGGGAGCCAATGGATGTGAGTTAAGAACCTGCTTCATTTAATAATAGTAATAATAATCCTTGCATTTGATATAGCGCTTTTCATGTCTTCTAGACGTCTCAAAGCGCTTCACAGAATAGACTGTAAAATGAATTGACTGTATATTTGTGGGCAAAATGCAGCAGCCAATTGCGCACAGCAGCATCCCACAAACAGTCGTGGATTGAAACGACCAATTTATTAATGTTTTTTTACTTGGGTATTATTATTAGGCTTGTAGAGTAAGGAAACTTGCCCAAGGTTTCGCCCTGCCGGGAATCGAACCCAAGTCTCTGGAATCAATTTAAAGAGAGTAATTGTTTTTGAAAGTTTTGGACTACAAAATGCATGTATATGTCATTATATTAGATATAATTTATTTATCCAATATAGTTACTTTGTCTACTTATTTGCACCACCTGCCATTTCCTACCAAAGAGAATGCAAGCAACAAAAAGACCTCTGCCAATTGCTTTCAATAATTGCCTTGTATATGTAGGAAAACAGGTCATGACTTTCCTTTTACTCTTTACTCTCTCCACTTTACTTTACCCTTTACTTCCAAACACTCCAACAAACCAAGCCCACAGAGCAGAGTGGTGTTTTTACTGTGACTATCTCCTTAGAGCCTCTGCTGTTAATCAGCCTTCAGCCATATTTTGTCTTTGATCAGTTTGCAATGTTAGGTTTTTGTTTGCCAAATTTTACCTCGAAGGGCATTGAAATAAAAGCAGATTGCACTCAAAATACTCTGGAAAATGGACAACTGTGTGGGGCACATTTGAAGCTCTTCACTTGTTGGTGTGGAACTCGTTCCCTTGAAAGGGAAATGCCAGCTTTGAGCACAGACTGTCCCAGTAACTGAACCCAATTGCCAGCCTCTCTCCTCCTGTGGCTAATGTAATCCCCTGTTAAAATGATTTGTTTTTCACTAACTCTGTTGGCCCTGAACACATTTCTGAGTATCTAATGTATTCATTCAGTAGGAATAAATCCAAGAATTTGTGTGGTGTATAAATGCTGGCAATTGACTGGTTAGGCAGAATGGCCTGTTTCCGTGCTGTAATGTTCTATGTAATCCTGTGTAAATGCCAAAGAATTCTGATTTGATTCCTATCTCCCTAAATGGGGAATCTTTACAAATTGAGTTGAGGCTGAAACAGCATTGCTTGTGATGTGCCAAATTGATCAAATATCTTTATAACGCACCCCATGAATGCAATGATTGTTTTCATTGAGTGTGCTTTTTTTCTGTTTTTTTAGATTATTCCCATAACTGGCTGGTTTGGCAGTGAGATCAAAGGAACATGAGAGCCTGAGAAAATATGTAAGTGAAATTTGAAGCAGATTTAGTGCTGAGATTTTACTGAGGAGGTTTTAAATCGCATTGATATTTCTATGTTCAGTGGATTGTTTTCAATTTGAAGACATGAGTTCTTTGATATTTTTTTAAAGACGTGTAATCGGTTTCATCAAACGGAGAGTGCCAAAGCTGTCCTCCAAATTAGTATTGCTATGTAGTATCTTCATGTTGTTTTCACTGAAGCTAAAGGAAGAAAGGTCAAAGCATATCTGAGGACTCGTGCTTTCAGGTCCATTCAGTGCATTAGGCTTTACTTACCTCTGCTGCTGTGATGCACTCGACTTAAACTTTCAAAGTTTAAACCGATAGCTAACAGCATATTATGCTTATTCTGACATTCAGCCCTGTCTTCTCCATATTAATATTGGTGGGGAGAAATATGTATCTGGGTTGAGATTTTCTCTATTTATGCATGTGGGTTTGTGGAGTCATGTAGCGTATTGGTTAGAGCATTAACTCATGGACAGGGTGAAGATTTGGCAAGTTTCCTTACTCCAAAAACCTCTGTTTAACATTAAGTAGGAGCCCAATTTTTAGTCTATCGGATCGCTTTTCTGAGGGTAATAATGCCTTCACGACTGTTTGTGCGACATTGCTGTGCGCAATTGGCTTCCACGTTTCGCCCACAAAATATCCAATCAATTCACTTTACAGTATATTCTGTGAAGCTCTTTGAGATGTCTCGAAGACATGATAAGATTCTATTTCAAATGCAAGGATTATTATTATAAAGTTTCCAAATTACAACCAATTCTGTGTGCAATCTTACATTTTAATGCAAATATGTCCATCACTAAAGAAGTATGCAGAGTCATACTGTGCAATGTTTAAACTTTGAAGGCTGTGGATAGCAATAAGTACTCAAATAGTTATAAAATGATTATCCATCACTCATCGCACTGCTGAAGATTGTTAACGTTACTTTTTTTTCAGTCTGGATTTGCCAAAGTACGCTGAACCTCAAATATTTTTATTCTTTGGTTGTGACAAGTAATTTATCACTTTGCGGGAAACAAATTGTTTCACAAATGTGAAATTACATATTGCTTTTTTTCCTCCCCCCTCCCCCAATTTTTCTCTCTCTCCCATTTGATACTCCAATGTCACAGTCTTCTTCTGCAACTAAATGTGTAGGCAGCCAACCTGCTCCCAGGCTTCAGTAACATTGCTCTTGAGCTGGGTGCGAGGAAACTTGCAAAAGTACCACAGAACCAAAGAACTTTACGACACAGAAGGAGGTAATTTCACCCATTGTGATTGTACTCTTTATAAGACTCATTTTTTTCTGTCCCATTTCCCCGCCCTCAACACTTTAAATGATTTAATCAGTTCCCTTGTGTCGGGTAAGGGCTTTACCCTCTAACTGATGTTACTCCCTCTACTTGTATTTGACTAGGTTTGAAGTGATTGATGGTTCCATCTCTGTAACGCACTCAGTGATTCCTCTGCAAACCTCAGTGAGTTGTGTAATAGTATTTATAATGACACGAGTAGATGTTATAACTCGATGTACTAATTAGTTCACTAGTTCTAGGGGTTGTAAATGAGTTCAGATTATACAATAGGTTAAGTACAGACAAGCCTACTCATATGCATATCCAAATGTTCCTCTTGTCTCACGTCCTTTGCATCAATTTCATTTCAAAATGAAATATTTGCAACTATGATAATTGGATGCATTTGAATCCCATTTGCATCCAGCAATTTGTTCACGGGCTCACGTGCAAAGCGACTTCTATTTATACCTCCTTGCTCTAAACAAGCTCTCCTGCCCTCAGTTCCACAGGGCAGGGCAGTGAAAATGGTAACATTGCTCCAAAATGTAAGTGGAACTTCTCTGTAACCTTCGGAAGCAACACTGCGTTTTAGCTAATGTACCTGTTTTTGTATCTGCTGTTACCCTCAACTCTCCTACCATCTCGTTCCTTTCCTTTGGCCACTACAGAGTTATTGCGGTAGACATTGTTGGGGTCCTTTTACAAGTTGATGACGAGGAATGCACTCTCACCGACAATTGTACTTTTGACATCGACTAGGTGCTGCGTCCAGGGTTGATGTAGTAGGCAGGATACTTTTTTCAAAAAAAATAAAACTCAAATTATTTTGTGAGGGAAAAAACATGTTTAATATACATTTAATCCGAAAGTTATAATATTATTGTTATTTGGTCTGGAAGTTAGAAATTGTTGGAAAAGGTTTAATAAGACATTTGTAACCGTTGTGGATTGTCTATAGTGAAAGCTGTGTGTTTATTATATTGCAAATTCTATTTGAAGACTAGCGCTGTTCTATGTTTAAGGTTTCAATTTAAATGATTTTCCGGCTAGTTCAGATATGTACTTAATCTGACAGATAATATTCTGCGGCATTTTCTTTAGTGATTCAATCTTTCAGTCACCAGATTGCTTTCTGTTGCTTGAATTAGGATTTTAATACCTATTTTCTGTGTGTATTTTTTCAAAAAAAAGTTTAATGTGAAACTGAGTTCAGTGATGGTCTTGTGTTTCAGTTTCTATCCATTTTCTTCAAAAAAATATAAGAGGCATTCACCGCTTAAGAGGTTAATGGAGGTATTTGTTGTCTGTATCTTTCTGTCTGAGATAAGATAAAATTGAAAGAAAGAAGGAAAGAAGGAAAGAAGGAAAGAAAGAAAGAAAGAAAGAAAGAAAGAAAGAAAGAAAGAAAGAAAGAAAGAAAGAAAGAAAGAAAGAAAGAAAGAAAGAAAGAAAGAAAGAAAGAAAGAAAGAAAGAAAGAAAGAAAGAAAGAAAGAAAGAAAGAAAGAAAGAAAGAAAGAAAGAAAGAAAGAAAGAAAGAAAGAAGCTGAGAGTCTGTCACAACAGAACCACAGAACCTCCAGTTGAAAAGTATGAGTTCTGCGTTGAAATATATCAGAGATTCGTTCCTCACTGTTAGGTCCATTGCTTGAACAAAAAAAAATTGGCTTTTTTTGTAAGAAAAAATAATTGATGGAAATGCACACGGTTTCTGTTGGCTTCAGCAAGCTCGACATTTGGAAGGCTTTGAACTTCTCTGAGCGACTGACAATCCAGAACATAATGAAACAATTTTTATTTTTTCTTCTTCTGTATATAAAGTCGCAATTTAGCACATCAATATTCCTAGCAGTTGGCATCATTGCGATCTTTTTTGAGATTCTGGTTAATTCTGAAAATAAAGCAATTCAGAATGTTTTTTTATATATAATATAAATATATAAGTCTGGGGACATTTGTCTTGAGACGCGGATTTCTGTTCAGGTTTGTTTTTAATCATAAGTAATCTTTGAAAGCCAGAAGCACTCAGAGACTGAGCTCTGTTTTATGTGGGTTTCATTTGTTTTCTCTCCTTCATCTTTCTTCCTCTCCAATCTCCTCCCTCCCAGGAAGGAAGGAAGGAAGGAAATAGTCTTCACCCAATATATCCCAGATGACTGGATTGAGATCTTACTGTATGGGAATTACAGTCCGAAACCACATCCTTTTAATTCCCCCTCCCTCCCCCCTCCCCTTTTCTTCCCCCTCGAAGCATACCAGAATATAGACAACTCCACCCATCCCTCAGACTCTTCTGCAATCAAATAGGATTTTCCAAACAAAATGAACCCTTACAGCAACGAGGATTTGGGGCTTTCATTTATTTACCCTTCCCACCTACCCAAAAAAAAGAACTGTCCTCTGGAGATATTGCTGTTGCTGTTGAGAGGACAGGGGTTTAAGTGGTTTACTCTTTAAAAAAACAAGAGTTTCCGTGCTTTTCAATCATCTTATTCTCCCGAAAATACCCGCCTTGTGATTTCTCACTGTTGAAAGTGGCTCATAACTTTTTTGCCCGTAAGGTAACGAGTTATTGCTTCCCTGTGGTTGCACCACTACAACAAAAACAACTTGAATTTCTATAACGGCCCCTCATGCTGGGTAGTGTCCCGGAGAGCTTCACAGTGACGGAGTCTGACAACAGAAGAGTTCAGTCTCCTTGCAGAGTTCCTCTGATCCTTTGCTTCCCTTTGGATCTGTGTTCCCGAAGATTGCAGTTTTACTCCTGCTCCATCACATCTTTTGTACACAAGACGTGTGCTTCACAGTGTTGCCAGGCATTGCGAATGCACAACAGCAATCCAATCCGCAAGCCTAGGCTAATATTCAGGAACCATAAACCGAGGTCCCGTCTGCCTGTTCGAGTGGACGTTAAAGATCTTGTGGTACTGTTCGAAAAGACAAGGGAGTTTCTCCCTGTGTCCTTACCCCCAACCCACCTCCCCCCAAAAAAAGAATTGGTCACTCACTCCATGGCTGTTTGTGGGACACTGCTGTGCTCAAATTGGCTAAGATTCACAGTTGATCAACTTTGCAGTATAATCCTATGAAGCACTTTGAGGCGTCTCCCAGCCAGCACTCTATCAAATGCAAGGATTATTACTAATTCAAATCAATGTGCAGTTTAGCTGAGAATAGTGCTGGAGTTTCATTTTATCACGTTCCTGAAAATGCCAACAGCAGCTGCTGTGTTCACCACATCTGTGACCGGATTAGTCAATTGTCAAGTTTCATAGGGCAAATATTTACCAAAATTTCCATGTTACAACTTGTAATAGTCGAGAGACTAATCTGACAATCTCGAAAGGTAATGAGTCATTGAAGAACATTTCATGGGCGCTCTTGTTTTCAAGCTTAAAAATCACAAGGAATGCACTCTTCACTTAACTAACATTTTGAAAAGCGACATGGAAACATTTCCAAATAATAAGGGTTTTTTTTAAGGGAAAAGGTCTTGCGTAATCAAGCGATAAATTTTGGCCGTCAAACCCGGAGATTGCAGAGTAATGACTATTTGTTTAAGGGAATGTTGAAGACAAGCACATCCATAGGTGAATACAGATTTTTCCATCAAGCAGCCTTTCCTTTCGTAACTCGTAACAGGTCACTTATCAATCTCGTCATATCACACCTCTTACACAGCAACACTGGAACATTTTCCCACCTGTAGCCTTTTTTTTGCCCTCGAGTGCAAGCAGTACTCTCTGTTTTTGTCGTTCCCATTGCAGAGAACCGCCGAGCTGACAGTTTCATTGATTTATCCACAGTAACTGCTGGATCTTTTCTTGATCAGTCAACTTGTTACAACTCTTTTATTTAACCTTTGCTCCCACACCAATTATTTCACTCGCCAAAGTTGGAGTACGTCTGCCGTCTATAAGATTAGGTCCCCCAAAAGGATCGAACCTTTCAGAATCAGATTGTGTTCATTGTTGACTCTACCTCTATTTCGGTATCAAGCTATGCTAAGGTTCTTTGGTCAAGTTTGTTACCAAACTAAAGGGTTGCAGCGTTGAGCCAGAACCTCTCCACCTGTAAACGTATCCACTTTGAGAAGTTTCTGACGTTCAGTATATTAATACAGCAGTATATTAACACGCAGCAAAGTTCTTGCCCCCAACGTGACAAAATACAGTCACTACACATGATAATATCCCGTGAAGCGCTTTGAGATGTCCTCCTGACACGAAAGGCGCTATATCAATTGCAAGAACTGCCATTTTCCATGTGAATTTTACTGCCAGTGTAAGTGATCATCGAGGAAAAAGCAAAATGGCACCTAATGGTTTTGAAGTTTTGGTAAAATTCACAATCAAAGGGGAAATCAAGTTTACAAAAGGGAAATACAAAGTGTTGTTAGTTGAATTGGTTGAATTGGTGGTGAAATCCTTTTGTGATTCAGAAAGGGGGAGCCCAAGCAAAGGCTGCTCATATGCCTTTAAGGTAATAAGCACATTTATTTATGTATAAAAACAAATTATTTAAGGGATCAATCCCGCCAAAGAAAATTGATATGGAGCACTTTCTATTCCCTGGTAACTGGTAAAGAATTAAAATAATATAATAATAGTAATCCTTGCATTTGATATAATGCTTTTCATGTCTTCAGGACGTCCCAAAGCGCTTCACAGATGTACTGTAAAGTGAATTGACTGTATACTTCTGGGCGAAACGTAGCAGCCAATTGCACACAGCAGTGTCCCACAAACAGTCGTAGATTGAAGTGACCAATTTTATTGTTTTTTTTTGATACGGCTGACTTCAGTGAACAGCGAATCACATTAGAAAGACCGAGTTTGACTTAAAAGCTCGGTCAATTTGCTCTGAAAAGGACAATTTATATAATTCACTCAGATAAGAGCACGTTGTGCTTGAAAGCTTTCCATTCGTTTTGTGGCACTTTATTTTTGAAGAGCGGAAGCTATTTGTCTCAAAGCATTTTCAACCTCCAGAACACCTTAATGATCTAAGATTATATTTGACCTTTTATTAGTCTTGCTCTTGCCATAAGTAACTCGTAATTGCATTTAATAATCCAAGAGAGTCTTAGAAATTGGGGTGGCTATTAGGGTTACCTCAGGTGATTTATTTAATCCTTACTTACATGTACATTTGGCCTCATATACAGTATTACAACAATGTATGATCAGAGGAAAGAGCTGGAGAGTGGGATTAATAGCAACGTTAATCCTTGTGTTTGATACAGCCCCTTTCACATCAGAAAATCCACATCTCACGGGGTTTTCAGGTATTGACGAATTCGAGACAAAGTCATAGATCAATCTGAGCGCAGCAATGTCCTTCCTGTGTGCAGCTGTGAAGTGAGTGACCAATTTTATCCCGATGACTGTTGGCCGGGACACCAGGAGAAACTCCCTCGTTTTTGAATAGTGCAGTGGGATCTTTAGTGTTCACCCTGAACGGGCAGATGCTTGGTTTCACATCCCATTCGAAGAACGGCACCTTTGACACTGCGACACTCGCCCAGCACTGCATTGGAATGCCTTAGAACATGGGTGGCAGGGACACAAAGGGCTGACTGGCCTCTTTCTGTGCTGAAATGTTCTAATGTTGCATAAGGGTTCTTGATAGTCTCTCTTGTGACATTTGATCCCTCTGTTGATTACTGTAGTAAGTCACCGCATGGTGAGTTGTAAATGTGAGGTGATAACGCTTACATTTAATATAGTGCTTCATCATGTTAACATCTCAAAGCATCTTGGAGTTTCCTGTAAAGTGTAGTGACTGGATATTTTGTCGGTGAATGGGAATGAGAAAAAAATCACAGGCTCCAATGCTTGCGGAACAGAGCTTGGTTTACATTGCAGAAGAACAATAATAATAATAATAATCCATGTATGTGATATAGCACCTTATCACGTCATCGCAAAGCACGTCACAGAATATACTGTAAAGTGAATTGACTCCGTATTTTGTGGGCAACACTATAATAAGTGCAGATAGTTGTGGAATGAAGAGCCCAGATGGTGTTTGCTTCATCTCGTGGGAAAACACAACTTGTTCCCAAAAACTAATTAAAAAATGCCTATAGTCATAAATGCTAGAACTATTCTGTTAGGGATGAAAGTGAATCAAGGTTTTTTCCTGGCTTTTATTAATTATGAAGTTGCTGTCTCAAATCCTCTGCCACAGGGTTAATGAGAATTTAGTCCAGTCTGGAAATAATTTGTGGTAAATGCCACTTCTATCTTGGACAATTTAATAGATCTCTCATTTGAAACTCTGTTTATCCTAATCTGGTATCAAAAGTTCAGGGAGCTTTGGATTTGGAGGCTACTGATGTACAGCCCAAT